TAAGGCAAAAATCACAGCAGTGGAGCGAGGAAGCAAGGAATGTGGTAAGCAGCCTGAAAAAGTCCAAAACTCAGGAGCAGTAGGTATAGACTGGTCAGCACCTGGTGTGACCAGAGCAGGGTTTTGTATGTATTGTCTCTTCAGAGTGAACCTCAGAGAAACTGTCCTGGTAAACACTCCAGCAATTTTCTAGGTGGACTCCTAATGCTAGTGTGATGTAACTAAGACTGGATTTCTGAAACTTGCAGAGGTATTCATATGCATGTGGGTTATAAACATGAGCTGTCTACAGGTAAAGCTGGTCATTTAGCCATATTTTGAAGGGCCTGGTGACAGCTGTTTTAAAAGAAAAAAAAAATTTAGAGGTTTTTGGCCTGTTTGCTCTATTTAATTTTGTTATTTTATTCTGGTTTTGAGTTACCTCTGCTACAAATGCAGGTCTGTTACCACTTCCAATGGTCAAGGAGAAGCCATATTTAGGGATGATTTTTCACAGAAGGACCCTACAAACACTTATTGCCCTGTCAGCTCAGGTAGCAAAGGCCTCAGGCAAGCCCAAATAGGCACAGCTGAGCACTCAACTTGACTTTATCGGACTCCATTGCTAGCAGAGCTACTTCCATCCATAAACAAGGTGTACTCAGCATCTGTCAGGGAGTTCATTTTTAGGGTTGACTGGCTCAAGAACAGTTCTTCAGTCAGTGATAGGCAGACCTGTTCTATTGGAGCCAGCTTGGTAGACACATTCTTGGCAGGATTAAGTGGTCCTCATTTATTCATGACGTCAAGAACAGCATGTGCCATCTGGACAGTTAGGCCTTGGCCTAAGGTGAGATTGCCAGGTTTGTTTGTTTTTTTATCAGAAAGACAATGACTGTTGGAGTGCAGAGGCAAAAGTAGGAGGCAGACTACAATGAACAAATTTAAGTATTTTCACAGATAGGCCACTAGAAGCTCCCAGGAGCTGACAGTCTGTGTAAACATCATTTTATTTTTTGAACTCAAGAATTGAAATTCTATAGAAGGTAGCAGCTGCAAGAAATTTGTGGAGTTTCTTTCTTGTAATCAGTTTCTTCCAGATAGTATAGCAGAGATTTTGTGCCTTTCAACCATGCAGCTTTGTGTCATTAATTAGAAATGCAGTGATATTGCATTGATACTGGAAAACTAGTCAGGTCACCTGTGAGGAATTCACTAAAGAGGATAAATAAGTTTTTGAACCTCTGAGAGGTTGATTCTAGGTTAGTTAAACTTTGAGTTTAGAATGGGGGTTTTTCCCCTTAAAAACAGAATACAGTATTTCATTTCGATATTTGGTTTATGCATAGGAAATCAAGAATTTAAATAACTAAAATGAGCATATGTTCATAATAATAATTCAAACAATGCTTTTCATACCTATGAAATAGAAATCTATGTATCATTTAATCACAGACATCATTAACAGTAACCTTTTAAATTATTCATTCTGGGGCCAAGAAGATGACTCAGTGGAATAAGTGCTTCCCTGGCAAGTACAAGAGCCTGAGTTCAATCCCTGGCTCTACCTAAATAAGTAAATAAATAAATAAATGGATAAATGGATAAATAAATAAATAATTCATTTATAGCCAGTTTTAGTTTTAAAATCATGTTTTCTTTTCTACTGATATTGAAGCAAGTTTGAATAAACAACTGTGTTGAGGCTATAATGACATATTTCTATAAATGTGGAGGCTTTCCCTTACTTGCTTTGCCTTAATGTCTGGCAATCAAAACCATATTTGATAGAACTGTGTTTAGAGTGAAATATCTGCCTATAAAGACTATAGATAGGAGTAGAAGCTAGTAAATATGATACATACAAACAATAATATTTCTTATGATACTAGATATGTTTAGAATGGACTTCACTATATTATTTATGATATTAGAATGTGATAAAACATTATAACTAAGAGTTCATTTATTTTTAGATATAATGTAAGTTTCAACACATTATCCCTAAAAATTTAGGGCATAAGATTCGTGTCCTTAATGGTAGAGGGATAATTATAACTATATGATTAGAATATTAAATATTCCCAGACGATATTCAGGGAGGTGAATAATGAGACTTTTCACATCATACATAAATTACACATAGTCAGCATGCTTTCAATATCAAAATATGATGTTACTATGAAGATCAAAGTTCACACAGTCTAAAATTATTATACAATGATTTTTTAAAAAATTTCCAATAAAGGGCCAGTCTGATAGCTCAGAAGACTAAAGTGGCTGCTTAGGCAGAGTGCAGAGATAGGGGTTTGATCCCCAGCATGCCTTACCAGCCCTGCCCCTGGGGCACACTGAGACTGTGATTGAGACTGGGCATGGTGGTGCGTGCCTGTAATCCCAGCACTTGTGAGGCTGAAAACAGGAGGATCACTATGAGTCCGATGTACATAGAGACTCTGTACACCCTTTAGACCCTGTGACAAATGCAAAAAAAAAATTCTGATAGGGCCATTTCTAAAGTAAGCATATTCATACAGACAAAATATATTAGTAATTTACCTTGGCTAGGGAAGGGGTGACTTAATGGGTTAGAGTTTTGATTTACGGATGATGATATTATACTAATATTAAATAGCAGTAATTAAATTTTATAATTCGGTGAATATGTTTTAGAAACAATACTTCATTACACATCTTTAATAGATTTTACGGAGGCACACTTTTGTAAACCTCCCACTGTGGAGGACTGAGGCAGGAGGATTGGAATCTTGAGCTAAGCCTGGGCAATTTACGTACATAGCTACATACTATCTCAAACTTTACATAAACAGTCAGGCAATGTTGCTCAATGTGAAAAACTTGTATCCTTGTATTAACTCTCCATCACTGAAAGAGACAGGGGAGCAGAACTTGTGTTATCTAAATTGTATTTTGTTGTATTTTTGAAATTCTGATATGAAAATAATTAAGACATCGGATAGCTACTGGACACTACCACAAACAAATAATTAAAATCAGTGTCACGGATGGCATGGAACATTGTTACACCATTATTATAAATTTCATCAAATCCACATTATATCATCAGCCTTAATACTGTCAAGGATGTGCTTCCTGATTTTTGCCTAGTTGAATCATTTTAAATCATTCATGTGTGCTATTCAGGTTGATATTTAAAACCCAGAATAGAACAGAAACTCATAATGTCAGAGTATTTTTTCATATTATTTCATTGTAATATTTTTAAATATATAAATTCATTTACCTCTAATGGTTTATGTTTATATGTATTGATATAGAGACTACATAAACATTACTATCGTTCCTTAGTGAGGTATCAAATATTGTTTTTCAAGAAATAATTTCTTAAGATACATAGTATTATCAATTTCTAGCTCATTTTTCTTTTAATGTATTTTAATTATCTCAATGAATAGAATGAATATTTCTACATTGTATAATATATATTATGTATTACTTAACAAAAATATAGTTACATAATATATATTATTATTCACAAATTTTGGAGATGTTTTTACTCATTCACTTAGCTTTACTCTAAAGAACTAAAATCAGGGCCAGGGAGATAGCTCAGTGGAATAAGTGCTTGTATGACAAGCACAAGGTCCTGAGTTCAATCCCTGGTACTGCAAAAAATAAATGAATAAGTAAATAAACAAATAAATAAATAAAAAAGAACTTATAAAATCAATGTTACAATCTTTAGCAAACTAGTATAAGAAAAGCAAAAACAGAACAATAAAAACTTGTTTTAAAGCACCATACCACAGTGATGGTATGTTTACAGAAGAATAACTTTTATTAGTTAAATTTTGCAAATACTTCAGATGCCCATTAACAGTTGACAGGTTAAAGAAAATGTAGTATTCACATACACTTGAGTACTACATAGCTGTAAAGAAGGAAGGCCTTGAGACATTTCTAGGTAAATGGATGTACACTGAAACCATAGTTTTAAGTGAAATAAATCAGACACACATTTAAATATCTCAGTGTTTCTCTTAC